AATAGACGACCTCCATCTACTCTACCTAGCCACCTTACTCACAGAACAGAACACCATTCAGAGCAAGGATGATACACTTCAGTCTCAGGAGCGTCCTCTCCTGACTTTCACTCTCGTTGGCAACATACAGGTATGTGAGGGGATGACACACGGAGATGGGTAGAGACCTGTTCTCCCCTGCAGAGGAAGGCAGGACACACTACAACAGAGCCAAGCTCGGAGCCAAAGTTCCATTTGGATGCCAGGAAGCACTTCCTGACAGTCAGGACCCCGAGGGTGTGGAATGGGCTTCCACGAGAGGTCATTGAGGCCCCATTGGTGCGGGTGTTCAAGGATAGGCTGGACGTGCACATGGTGGGCATGTCGTGAGTGGAGCCGGCTGGTGCCAGAGGTCAGACTAGATGGCCCGGGAGGCCCCTTCTGACTCGCTCTGTTTCTGTGTTTCTAAGTATCTCCACAATGACACTTGATTTTTCATGGACACCAGAGAGAACTTGGGACTTTTTTTCTCTCAGGTCCTCTGCATGACTCATAGTCTAGGACTTAACCCTAGACAGGAGCCTACAGACAGGAGCCTACCAGAGCGAAAGGTCCAGGCTTTGAAGCCGTTTATGCAGAGTCTGCCAATCAGTTACCATCATGTGCAGTACGACACCAGCAGAAATCCCTGGCATCAGTAGCTCCTCCACCTTGCTGACTCAAAAATATGTATTGAGACCAGGAAAAAGATGCTGAGTTTCTTTTTCATCACCATTGACCAAATTCCATTATTGTCGAGTCTGCTCAATCCCACTCCAGAAGAGAACATGCCACTCCATCAGACGGCCGTTGCTTCTATTCATCTGCAACTCTCTCCATAAAGATGGCCGACTACCAAGCCACTATGTCTAGGTACCACCTCATGCTTTGGGATAGGATTGCATCCCTATTCTCTTCTCTACCAAAAGCTGCTCAGGACTTAGCAAACGAGATTAAAAATGAAGCCACTCACCTGGTCAGACACCAAGCTCGACATCAAGCAGAGGATGGCGCATGGAACATGGCTGGGGCAATTGGTCTCACATGGCTTCGCATGCCTTTGGTCATCGGGACTATCTGTCAAAGCAAAAGCAAAAATTAAGGATATGCCATTTCACAGTGCTGGTCTATTTCATGAGACCACAGATGATTGTATGGATTCTGTCCAGAAAGCTAGGAGTACTGCACACCACATGGGACTCAATCAGATGCTGCCCCAGAAGCCATATACTTCTCGTAAATGACACAGATCTTCTTATGCTTACCAGTCAAGGACACCTGCCACCACTACTACTAGACATACTACCACCCAACCCAGGCACCAGGATCCCTGCCACCAGCTCTGACGCCTTCTGGTCACTGCATGCCACTTGCCGGGAACCCAGGCACCAGGATCCCTTAACATGGATCTATTCATCTTGTAGACGATTTCAGGAGACACCTGTGCCTCTTTCAAATGCCTGTTGTTTCTCCCCTTTGTTTCAACCATCATCTCCAGTCCTTTTTCTGTTCCTGGGCTGCCATCACCTTGGATTCTTGAGTTTGATCTATTATTGCCCATGGGTACTGTATCGAGTTTCATACTCTCCCTCATTTCACAGTACCAAAATGGACTACTCCATCATTTCCCTTCCTAGATGAAATCTTCACCTTATTTCACAAGGAAGTTATAGAACGCACACCACCTAATACCCCTGATTTTTATTCCAGGTATTTTATGGCCCCTGAAAAGGACTGAGGTCTTCGTCCTATCCTGGATCTATACTCCTTCAATAAACATATCCGACCAAAACATTTCAGGATGGTCTTTCTACAACCCATCTTCCCTCTCCTCTCCAAGGATGTATGGTTCACATCCATTGACCTTAAAGGATGCATATTTTCACATCGCAATCAAGGGATCCTACAGGCATCTTCTCCGTTTTCAAGTAAATGGCCAGACTTTTCAATTTACAGTTCTTTCTTTTGGGTTAGCAACAGCCCGCCCCATGTATTCAGCAAATGCATGGCAGTTGTTTGTGCCTACGTCTGTCTTTATGATAGTCATATATACTCTTACACAGATGACTGGCTTATTGTAGCCCACTCTCAAGAAGCCTGTCTCAAAGCCACAGAATTTACTTGCTGTCTGCTCACTTGTCCTGGACTCTATATTAACTCAGCCAAATCTCACCTCTCTCCTACCCAGTCGATCAGCTTCATCGAAGCCAGATTCAAAACGGTACCAGTGAAAGCCTTCCTCTCGAGAGACAGAGTGTCTGTGGTATAGTGGTTAAAGAGCATGGGACTGGGACTCACAAGATCTGGGTTCTAGTCCCCGCTCAGCCATGGAGCCAACTGCGTGACTTTGGGCCAGTCACAGACTCTCAGCCCAACCTCTACCTCACAGGGTTGTTGTTGTGGGGAGAAGATGGAGGAGGAGAATGATGTAAGCTGCCTTGAGCCCTTTGTAGGAAAAAGGCAGGATATAAATTGGGGAAATAAACAAACAAACAAACCAGAGAGGTCAGTTCACTGATTGACACTCCATCACCAACTCCCATATTAATCCTAGACAACCCTAGGTTTGATGTCCTTGGCGATCCCAGTTGTCCCTCTAGCCTGACAGTTTATCAGACCTCTTCAACTGTGGTTCCTAGGATCTTTCAATACCACAACTCAACCACACCATACCAGACTTTCTCCTCCACCTTGGGTCCCTAAGTCCCTATGTTGGTGGACAGAAGAGGCCAACACAGCAATTGGAGCCCATTTCTCTCCTGAGGACCCTCAAGTGACTGTTGTAACAGATGCCTCTCTCCTTTGATGGGGTGCTCATTGCAGCCAAGCTACCATTCAGGCCAGATGGAGCCTCCAAGAAGGTTGCCACCATACCAATTTCTTGGAACTCTTGGTGATCAAGAAGGCCCTTGTTGCCTTCCAGATTCATGTTTGAGGTTGCCATGTCAGAGGACTCACAGACAATGCATATATAAACAAACAGAGTGGAACCAGGTCAAACCAGCTTGCCTCCCTCTCCACCACCATCTGGCACTGATGTACCACCAAGCAGACCTCTTTGACTGCCTTCATGTGATAGGTACCAGTAATGTCCTCGCAGACTCCTTCAGCAGGACTTTCACCAAATGTCACGAGTTGGAACTCCACCCCACAGTCCCCCAAATCCTGTGGAATCGTTGGGGTGTTCCCCAGGTAGACCTGTTCACTATCGAATACAACATGGTGTGTGACCATTTCTGCTTAAGGGCCAGCCTAGGCACTCACTCCCTTGGAAACACCATTCTCCTATCTTAAGCAGGAAATTATTCTATCTGTTGAAATGGAATCATTTTCTCTGACTCCAAAAATGCTCGCAAAGATCTCTCAGGAACATATGAATGCCATCCTCATCATTCCATGGTGGCCCAGACAGCACTCCCCTCCTACTCATCCTAGCCAACAAGACTTTCTTTCATTTACCATACCAACATGACCTCCTCTCACATGATCGTGGCAAGATAGTCCATCCCAGCCTGTCAACACTCCAACACACTGCATGGAGAATTCAACAGACTTTGTCCCATTGACAGACATAACTCCCGACCTTAAGCTAGTCTTAGACACTTCCTTTCATCCATACTCACAGGTCATACAGTACAAAGTGGGCAGTGTTTACTACTTTTGCAAACCAACATAACTTTCCCCCAGTCATAGCCTCTCCAGTTCAAATCCTTCTGTTCTTGAACTCACTATATAAGAAAGGCCTCTCCTACTCTCAAGGTTTATATGGCTGCTATCTCAGCCTTTCACATTCATATTCAAGGATGTTCAGTTTACTCACATCCCCTAATTGACAAATTTCTCAAGGGGATTCTCAATCTAACTCCTCCTCTCAAACATCCTCCTCCATCTTGGAATCTGTTTGTCATTCTCCATGGACTCACTAAGCCTGCCAATTCTTGAAGTACTCTTGGGTGTAACCCATCAGGGCCTGGTACCTTTGTAATGTCCAATGCTCACCTCAAGGTCGGGGCGGCACACCACCGCCTCAGTGCCCCTCAGCAGGGAATCCCCGACGACGATCACCCACTGCCATCTCTTGCCAGTGGTGGTAGGCAGCTGTGCCCTGGCTCTCGCCTCTCCTGCAGCAGCCCCCTGTGGTCCCAGGCTGGGGGTCCTGCTGGACCCCCAAGGCCTCAGCAGCCCCAGTCTCCCCAAGCGGAGAGAACCTGCTTCCCAGCTCCAGTTCAGTGCCAGGAGAAGGAGGAGGCCTTGCCTCTCTTGGGAGAGAAGCGTGAACATGTCGCAGCTGTCGCAGTGGACAGCAACACATGGCCCGCCATTGGGAACCCCTCAGAGACCCTACCTTGGTCCCCCACCTTGTCTGTCCTCACTCGCTTAGTTCTTGCATACAAAAACCCACCCACACACACAAGGATAAAATAAAATTTAAATTAGGAAAAAAAACAAATCTGCCCCCAAGGAAGGGAGTTGCGGGGCAGCCTGAGACACAGCTAAGGGATGCAGACAAGGAACGATGCCTTATAAGCCTCTCAGGCTGGTGACCCCACCCCCCTGCTTCCTCTTGGCCCCTCTAGCCTCTCTGGCCCCACCCCTTCCTCTCTGCTGCTCCTGTCCCCCTGCTGTCCCCCTGCCCAGCTCCTACCTTGTGTTCACCAGTCCCCTGGCCATCCTCAGCACTCTTTCCCATCCTCTGCTGCTCCGCTGCTCTGCCAAGAGGCAAGAGCCAAAAGCTTCTCTGACTTTGGTTAAAATAATTGGAGTCTTGATAATGGCTTCTTTTCTCCTGTCTTGGTGCTTTTTCTCTATATTTTGGTAGGCTATTCTCTGAGTCAGCATCTTATGTATTCTAGGTTTTTCTCTGTTATACTAGAAGAGTTCTCCTCCCATAGAAAAGGATGAAGCAAGAAGGTCTTTATCGTAAGCCTGCCTACCTGTTCACTGAACTTGTGCACAAATGTTGTGTTTCTCTTTATTGTTAGGTTCCAGCTCTTCCAGAGGGTGCAGACTCTTCTCCTCCTGTTGTGACAGAGCTGTACTACCTCCTGGCTGATTACCACTTCAAGAACAAAGAACAGTCCAAGGCCATCAAGTTCTACATGCATGATATCTGCATCTGCCCTAACAGGTCAGTTGTAGGACTGTGTTGGACATTTAGGAAGTTGTGCAGGGAATGGAGGAAGGAGAAATCCTCCTTTACTGGGGGTCATCTGAAGAATCTGGGTGGTGGGAGACGCAGGGCAGAGAAAAGGAAGTAATCAGTTATGGAATTTGCTGCCATGAGATGTGATGGCCACCAACTTGTTTGGTTTTAAAGGGGGATTTGACAAATTGAGGGGTAGAATAAGGTTATCAGCAGTATGCCTCTGGATGCAAGTTGTTAGGGAACCCAAATGAAAGTATGAGGTTAATTCTCATGTTCTGCTGTGGGCTCCCTGTTGAAGGTGGCTACTGTTGGCATAGAATGTTGGACTAGAGAGCCTTTGGACCAGAAAGGTCCCAGCAAATCTCTTCTTCTGTTCTTAGCTGGATCAAAAATCGAAAAGGGTTTTCCTGGCTGATGGTACATGTTACTCTTTCAGGTTTGACTCTTGGGCTGGCATGGCTTTGGCTCGGGCCAGTCGCATTCAAGACAAGTTGAACTCCAATGAATTGAAGAGTGATAGTCTGATTTGGAAGCACTCCACTCCAGTTCTGAACTGTTTCAAAAGAGCCCTTGAAATTGATGGTTCCAACCTTTCCCTATGGATTGAATATGGCACCATTTCCTATGCTCTGCATTCTTTTGCATCTAGGCAGCTTAAGCAGTGGAAGTCAGAATTGCCATCAGAAGTGGTGCAGCAGGTGAGAGCTTAACCATAGGTTTGTAATGACTGACTATGCTAAATCAGCCATCACAGATGGCTCCTGCTGCTGCTCTTTGACCATAAGTGGTTTTCCTCTTGCAGATGGAAGAACGACGGAACAGCATGCTGGAGACAGCCAGGCACTGCTTCACTTCAGCTTCTCACTGCGAGGGGGATGGAGATGAAGAGGAGTGGCTGATCCACTACATGCTGGGGAAGATTGCAGAAAAACAAAAACAACCTCCGGTGGTCTACCTTTTTCATTACAAGCAGGCAGGTCACTTTCTGCATGAAGAAGCAGCCCGCTATCCCAAGAAGATCCACTATCATAATCCACCAGAGCTTGCAATGGAGGCCTTGGAGGTAAAATGAAAAAGTAAAACATATGACTGAGTAACCTACCAGTCAGTTGTAACCAAAAACAAAGCAAAATGCTAAGAGAAGAAACTTGAAACATCCTTTTGCAACTTCCTGGCTTAATTTTTGTTTCTTCTATAGCATTTTGTAATGTTTTCTGTTCATTGACCTTTTGCAGATACTACCTCTTGTCAGCATCAAGCCCTCAAAAGTTAATTTCACTTGTAGATCATCAGGTATAAACTTCTTGTCAAGGAACTGTCTACCTTTAAAAAAAACCCCAATAGCAGCTGATTTTGATTTGAGCATTAGTGCTGGAGGGCCAGTTGCAGCTGGCAGTGGTGGGCAGAAAGCAAACTGCCTACTGCTTCCCTGGATTCCTACTTTTCTTCGCCCTCCCCAGTTGCCCCAAAGCTATTGCATCTGTAAAATATATTGTGAAAGTGCAATGTGTGTTGTACTCTTCTTCCTTTGTCGTGGAGACTCTGTTGTTAGTTAGGGAGAATGTTCTGTTCCCTCAGTTACTAGTTTGCATGTGTATGTGAATGTGTACATGCCTGTGCAGATGAGAGGAATGAGTAGTGGCTTCATCAGCATTCCCTGGCTAGGGTGGCTGCCATCCCTTCCTCACCAGGAGGATGCCTGGCAAGCCAGTCCATGATCAGGGGATTTTTAAGCAGCAGAGCCACCCCCCCAAGTGTTCCTGCACAGTGAAAGGCTACAGAGAAAGCAGCTTCAGCCAGGCCTTCCCTTGTTTTGCAACAGTGTGCAACAACTTCCTCTCTCTGCCTCCTCTGCCTTGGAGAGGGCCATTGAATGGATAAATGTAGCCATTGCCAGTCATTCACTAGGTAGGCTAGAAAGAACTGAGAGAACAGATTGAAAAAGATGCTTTGGGACCAGGCTGTGGTTGCAATGAAGGAGGTCACAGCAGGTGCCTCCTCTGCCACTCCTGGTTCTGCTAAGAGCATCCCCTCTCATCCACCTCAGGGATGGTAAACTAGTGCTCCACTCTGTCTCCCTCTCCTAAGAAACATAAGGAGACGAGGAAGCACACTGGATCTGGAGGGGCCACAAAACCAAAGCACTCTGAAAGGGACAAGACCAAGCGCTGCCATAAAAAGCACCCTCAGGTGCCTCATCCGGATCCTTCCAATCTGCCAATCTGCCAATCATCTCGGTACAACGTAACTGTCTGGCCACCAATCCGTCATGCAGGTGACACCACCATCGTCACCCCTGTGCATCCTGCTCTCTCCTCACTCCAGCCCAGAGCGCCAGAACCGGTGGCTCAAGCCTCAATATTGGATGGGGAGATCTGTGAATTGCCTCCTCCATCAGATCCTGATCAAAAGATTGCAAGATTGCCGACCCCCACTCCAGGTGGCCAGTCAGCGCCAGAGGCGTGTGTGTCCAAGAGCCTTCCTGTGTCCACCCTCGTTCCTCCCACCGCAAGCTCCGAGCCAACAGCCCTCCAGATATTGGATGCCATTACCTTATGGAGATTTCGATCCCGACCTGCTGGATCATGCCTATCCATGGGATTACTACCCTCTGTACAACTATCCCTACCCACCACCACCAATGCGTTGCCAGCATTCCACCCCTCCATTGATGTCTAGGAACACTCCATTCACATCAGCTGCAGCCATCTCTTGTCCTGACCGGTCTCCTAACGGCTCTTCCTCCTCGAGCCCTCCATACCAATCAGATTTGAACTTGGAGGAATCTCAGCAGGCTTCAGTGTCCCCTAACATGATTATTTTGACTTGCGGCCTGGGATCACCTGGTGATAGCCTGGGACGCTTTTCCAAACTTCTTGCTAATATTTCATCCTCCCTCAAAATTGACATATGACAGCACATCAGTCCAAACCAAGACAACATATACGATATTGTCCAGAAGGAGGACGCAGTCCCAGTAGCTCTGCCTTTTATATTGATGTTCTGACAGACGATGATGGAATCCTGGCAACTCTCAAACCATCCTCACCCAAACTTCCGGCATCTTGAATTGATGTATAAAGTCAGGGAACAGGACATTCCCTTCTTATTAAAACATCCACAACCGAACTCTATCATGATTGGGTCCACTCAAGGCTGTCAGTCCAAAGAGCACTCTGCACCAACTGGTTGTGAGGGGAGGAAGATTGACATGATGTCCCGCCAGATCTACTCCGCTATGGGACTCGGTCTTCGCATCTCCAGCTACAAAGTCGGAATGGCACGCTACCAATACTTTTTGTGGCAGAAAATCAAGTCCCTTGCTGCATTCCTCCTGGACCAGCAGAGAGAACTGGCCTGCATCTTCGTTGGTGAGGCAATGCAACTCTCTAAGCAACAACTGACAATGGCAAGGCATCATATTGATTGTGATTTGAGGACGCTCGTTGGTGCAGTGGCTCTCAGGTGGCACGCCTGGTTGAGAGCCAGAAACCTCCCACAAGAGACCAAGCAGCATGTCAAGAATATGCCTTTTCCATTCTAAGACCAATGACAAGTTGGACTCCATCCATAAAGCTCGACTCACCACTCGCAGAATGAGATGGACTTCTACACAATCTAAATGTAAGTGGCCCTGGAATAAGCCTGCCCAGTACCAGCCTTTCCAACTCTACCACCAGGGATAATCCTCCGGACGTGAGCCTTTTAACCAACGGCAGCCTTATCTCCACTCATAACGAATTAAAACTGAACAATAAAATTACAACTCAGTTGTGATATACAATAAAATATTAAAAACCTAAAAACCCTCCAAACCACCCACTGACAAAGGAGCAGAGTCCCTGGCCCAGCCCAGCCCCACTGGCCCCAAACAGCTCTGTGCCCTTTGGCCCTCGCCCCAAGGCCACCAGCCCTGGGCTGCGACCAGCAAGATGTACACTGCAGCCCCTCCCCCGCAGTCCCCCCCACCCCCGTGCAGCTCCCACCTACACCAGGAGTCGAGGTAATTGAGGCAGCGAGGGCAGAGAGCTTGTCAGCAGTGAAGATGGAGGATGGAAAAATTGGTGAATGCACAGATGACCACTCGAAGAACGACAGTTACAGGTAAACAACCTGCCTTTACTGGAGGCCAGATTCTGGCTGAACATCCAGAAGAAGAACTTCCTGACTGTTTGAGCAGTATTGTAATGAAACCAACAAGATAGGGAGCGTGTGAGCATTCAGAAGGCATTCAAGATGCAGCCATCTGAGAGGGATGGTTTAATTTTGGAGGCCCACACCAAGGAAGGCGTTGGTACCAATGGCCTTCTTGGCCTCTTCCAATTTTTCTGTTCTATGATTCTTTGAAAGCTGCTCTGGAAGTAATTGGACAGAATAAAACAGCTGAAGTAGATACGGTACCATTAGAGAACTATTCCAAGCTGCAGAGACTAAATCAGTGTAAATCCTAACAAGAATATGTCAGCAGATATGAAAATAAAACAATGGCCCACAGGCTGGAAATGTTCAATATACATTCCACTTCCCAAGAAAGGAGATGCAAAAGAGTGCAACATCCATAATACCATTGCACTAATTCCCCATGCAAGGAAAGTGATGCTGAAAGTGTTGCAGCAAAGAGTATTACATTACATGCAGCTAGAAATGCACGATGCCCAAGCTGGATTCTGAAAAGAAAGAGGCACTCGAGATCATACTTCAAATATACCTTGGCTACTGAAGCACACCAAAGAATTGCATGATATCTACCTTTGCTTACGGGAAAGCCTTTCACTCTGCATATTATGAAAAGCTTTGGATGATCTGGAAAAAATGGGTGTATCTAAGTACTTGATTTTCCTGATGTGTAAACTGTATTATGGACAAGAAGCTACTGTTAAGATAGAATATGGAGAAACAGAATGGTTATAGACAACGGCATCAGACAAAGCTGTATTTTCAAAGAAGAGAGAGTCTTGGAAGGGCAGCAATGAAGGAACTAGGTAAGATCATCAAATGTAGGATGTTTCACTGGAGACTAAAGTCAAGCTCATTCATGTGATTGAATTCTCAGTTGCTGAGTATAGGTGTGAAAGGTGGATAGTGAAGAATGCTGAGAGAGAGAAAAATAATGCATTTGAAACATGGTGCTGGAGGAGATCTTTGTGAAACCCTGAAACAACAGAAAGAGAAACAAGTGGCTCCTAGATTAAATCAAACCAGAGTTTTATTTAGAAGCAAAAATGGAAAAACTGAAGCTGTCATAGTTGGGCGCATCATGAGAAGGTAGACTCCCTGGAGAGAACAATCAGGCCCAGGGAAAGTTGAATGACAAAGAAGAAAAGGAAGACCAAATATGAGATGGATTGATTCCATAAAGGAAGTGACAGCCTTGAATTCAGGACAGCTAAGCTGGGATGTCATGGACAGGACATTTTGGAGAACTGTCATTACTCATATGTGAATATTGAGCCTCTTCTCAACCCATATTGCTGTAATATTCTCTTCCATGGCTTACACTGGGGAGGAATTTCTCATAGAGACAGGGAAAGCATGTAGATAATCTCCCTGTTGATAAAGGTCAGGCACTCTGCTCCAACCAGTGCCACTGCTGGCCAAAAAACATATAAGCCCATTTGCTTTGCAGGGAGCAGAAGAAACAGACTCACAGTTTTATTAAAGGAGGAAAGGGCAGTAGACATGTTGTTACTGCAATCTCTGCTCTACATGTGGACAGGTGAGGCTGGGGGAATAATGTATTGTTCTCCCGTGCATAATGCCTATTGTGTTCAAGCTGATGACAGTTGCTGAGTGCTCGCTTGCTTGCTTTCTCTCCACCTCACCTTCATTTTTGCAGGCCACTTTGCTGCAGGTACAGGATCCATCCTGTACTCCATTCTTTGTTTGGGAAGGTAATCCCAAAGAAGCAGCAGTGACCAGGATGCTCCTGGTGTTTCTTCCATGAGGTTGCATTAGGCAGGCTCTTGCACCTTAATGCTCCATTATGAACTGGTTTGCAAAAGGTTCCCCCTCATTAGGTGTTCCTAATGAGAAACTGAGGCCACAGTGGGAATGTACCTGTTGCCTATGAGCCACAGTCCAAGGACAAAAGTTGTGGTAGGGAGGGGTATGTTTTAACTCTTTAGAGATCTCAGGACTTGGCTTACTCTTTTGGTTTCCTCTGAATCACATGCAGTAAGTTGTAATCATGTATCCCCTAAATCTCCCATCCAGGGATGCTGAAGAATACCCTGTTGAAACATAAAAGTAAATGCCTTTCTGGGTTTAGAAATATTTCAGCAAGTATTTGGCTTGAGAATTAACTGATGCCAGGTATATGCCAGATAAATGTGAATAAGCCTGAGATGCAGTCCAGGCCTCTCTATGACAAAAGAATCAAATTGATGCATGCTGTTTTTTCATCACAGTCTGAACTCAGGTCCAATAACCAAGATTCCATCTTGGTAAGACCAGTTTTATGGGCAAGTGTATTCCGAGTCTGGAAAGGTTGTGCTCCCTCTGAAAGGATAGTTTTATAAATCCTGAGTCCAACTTTGTGGCAGGAGGCTGCAAGTGGGGCAGAACACTGCGGCTTGGCTATAGTCAAGCAAGCCCACTTTCAACATGTAATACCCCAGTGAAAGATCTGAATTAGGTGCTTATCTGCTCCTGGGCCAGATTTAAAATTTTACTGATGGCTTATAACATACAACACAACTTGGGCCTAGTATGCTTGAGAATGTGCCTTTTAAATCAACCTTCCTAGTTGCTAAGGGGCTTCTGGTGCTGCTGCTTGGGTCTGAGGTCTTTTTAGAGACTGCTCTGAGCAGTGTTTTCCATGTATTATCTCCAGTGTGAAAAAAAAATTGCCAGTTGATGTTTGACATGTGCCAGTTTTGTTCCTGTTTTTGATGTTTGCTAAAATTATTCATATTTAAAGAAAGTTTTCCTCATTGAAAATCCAATTGTATTGATAATTAACAGTTTTAGATGTTTTCTCATTTGTATTTTGTATTATTATTGTTTAAATAAATGTGAACATTGTAGCTGTCCATAATTAATGAGCATCTGTGCAGTTTCCAAGACTCTGGAAACGTGGAGGTATGTGTGCTACTTTTCCACTGTGTGTACTTCCCCTCCTCTTCTGTGCTGAGCATTTCTCTTGACATACTGGCAGCTTACGTATCTGTAATGTATATTTAACATTGTCTTGGTCAAATGTTTTTGTACCTTCTTGGTACAAATCCTGGCGTTTCATCACAAAGGCACTTGTTTAACTAGCCGTCTTCATGCCATAAGCATCCAGATGAATAGCTACATACAAGTTCGCAGTAAGCATCCTGTGTGTGTGTGTGTGTGTGTGTGTGTGTGTGTGTTTAATCATAAGCAGTTTAACTTTAATTAACTCCTGAGTGTGTAATAGTGATAATTAGATTTTTGGAACTAATTTAAAACCAAGAAGAATTTTGCTATACTCTCAATTTTTTTCTTTTAGGTATATTTTCGACTTCATGCCTCTATCCTAAAGGTTGTGGGGAAACCTGATTCTGGAGTGGATGCAGAGTTGCTTGTCTCTTTTATGAAAGAAGCTGCGGAAGGACCTTTTGCCAGGGGTGAGGAAAAGAATACCCCCAAAATCACTGAAAAGTAAGTGCTGACTTTTTTGAGATATTTTGAGGTTTTCAGTTAAATAGAAGGTATGGACTGCTACTTGTGGTGTTATGCAAAAGATAAATCTTCCAAAGGCTGGCACTGGCTTGGCAAGCTCATCTCTATTCCATCTGAAACCCCTTAACTTGGTGAAGGAATTCTTGGACCAGCCTGCTGAACTGCGATGATTGCATGCTAGGCCTCTGGTTATCATAGATTCTGACTAGATAGCAAGATTTTTTTTCTGACTGTTTGAGCAGTCCAGCAATGGAACCAGTTATCTAGACAGGCTTGTGGGCACTTCCACACTGGAGGCATTCAGAGGCAGTTGGACAGCAATCTGTCAGGGATGCTTTAACTTGGAGTCCTGCATTAGGCAGGGAGCTGAACTCAAGATGGTTTCATAGGACTAACTGTAATATTCTGTTCAGGACAGTAACTTGCTCCTATAGTCGCTGATCATATATAATAATCACAGTCACACACTCACCATCTACAGAACTTTCTTCAAATTCTTCTGAAGTACTTCTTTTTTTCTCCCCTTGGTTTTCTTTTCTTTTTTCAATTTTTCCAATTTTGCATTGTATTTCACTTTAGTGCTTAGCTATACTGTGAAGTCTTTGTACCATCTGAGAGAGCCACTGTGGTGTCATGGTTAAGAGTGCAGGACTGGAGCTCAGGAGATTCGTGTTCTAGTCCCCATTTGGCCATGGAGCCAACTGGGTGACTCTGGGCCAGTCACAAACTATCAGCCCAACTGACCTCACAGGGTTTTATTTGTTTGTTTGTTTTAAGTTTTTATATGCCGTCCCCATTGCTACACAGCCTCGGGATGGCTCACAAATAAATAAAACAAATAGAATAACATTTACAATTACAATTTACAATTAAAACTTGGAAGCACACTGGCTGTCTAATTAAAACTATAAATATTAAAGATTATTAAAATACTGTTTGAATAAAAAGGTCTTGGCCTGGTGCCAAATAACAAATAACGGTGCCAGGCAGACCTCTCTGGGGAGCGCATTCCACAGATAGGGCGCCACCACAGACAAGGCCTTCCTTTGGGTACTTTGCTTCCTAATATCTCACGGATCTCAAGGGGCGGGAGAGCAAATATGGCCACAGGCGTTCCTTCAAGTATCCGGGTCCCAAGCCATTAAGGGCTTTATAAGTAATTACCAACACTTTGAATTGAGCCTGGACTTCGATGGAAAGCCAGTGAAGCTGGTAGAGGACTGGGGTTATATGAGAATAACGCCCAGTCCTCGTCAGCAGCCTGGCTGCTCTATTTTGCACCATCTGAAGTATCTAGACTGTCTTCAAGGGAGCCCCACGTAGAGTGCGTTACAGAAATCCAACTGGGAAGTAACCAATGCATGCGTCACTGTCGCTAGGCAGTCGTCCTCCAGGTAGGGACGCAGCTGATGGATCAGCCGAAGCTGATGGAAAGCACTCCTTGCCACCACCGACACTTGAGCTTCCAAAGTTAGCTCCGGGTCGAGGAGCACTCCCAAGCTGCGGACCCTGTCCTTTAGAGGGAGTGCAACCCCATCCAGGACAAGGTCCAAGTCACCTACCCAGGAGTTTGAACCACCTACCAGCAGGACCTCCGTCTTGTTTGGATTGAGCTTCAGTTTATTGGCCCTCATCCAGCCCATTACCTCGGCCAGGCACTGGTTCAGTACAGCCACTGCCTCACCTGGATTGGTTGAAAAAGAGACGTAGAGCTGGGTATCATCAGCATACTGATGATTCCGCAGCCCACACCTCCGGATGACTTCTCCCAGCGGTTTCATGTAGATGTTGAATAGCAAGGGGGACAGAATAGACCCCTGCGGAACTCCATGGCATAACTGCCATGGCGCAGAGGTAAAGTCCCCCAGCACCACCTTCTGGAATCGGCCATCAAGGTAGGAGCGGAACCACTGCCAAGCAGTGCCTCCTACTCCCAGCCCCCTTAGCCTATCCAGAAGGATACCATGGTCGATGGTATCGAAAGCCGCTGAGAGGTCCAGAAGAACCAACAGGGACGCACTCCCCCTGTCTCTCTCCCTGCACAGGTCATCATACAGGGCAACCAAAGCAGATTCAGTACCATACCTGGGTCTGAAGCCGGACTGAAATGGGTCCAGATAATCAGTCTCATCCAAGAGAGCTTGGAGTTGTCCCGCCACCACCCGCTCCAGCACCTTGCCCAAAAACGGGATGTTGGCCACCGGTCTATAATTGATGGCCATCTCTGGATCCAGGGACGCCTTCTTTAGGACCAGCCTGACCACCGCCTCCTTTAGAGGGGCAGGTACCCGGCCGTCCTTCAAAGAGGCATTGATGACCTCCCGGTTCCAGGAACCAATCCCGTGTTTGGCTTTAGATAGTAGCCACAATGGGCAGGGGTCCAGTAAACAGGTGGTGGTATATACTTGTCCAAGCACCTTGTCCACGTCATCAAGCCACAATAACTGAAACTCATCCAATAATATGTGACCAAACGGTGACATTGGCACCTCCCCTAAGGAATATGAGTCACTAGAGGAGTGCAGCTCATGACAAATCTGAGCGACTTTCTCCTTGAAGTGCTGGGCAAAGTCACAGCGGGTTATCGAGGGTGGTACAGGATCTTCCTTGGGGCCTGGTTGTACCAGCCCCTGTACCACCCGAAAAAGTTCTGCTGGACGGCACTGTGAGGAGGCAATGGAAGTGGAGAAGAATTTCTTCTTCGCCGCCCTCACCGCCACAGCATAGGCCTGATAATGGGCTCCTAAGTGTGTTCAGTCAGATTCATCCTGTGATTTCCTCCACCTTCTCTCTAGTCATCTCCCAACCCGCTTCATCGCCCGTAATTCAGGTGTGTACCAATGGGATGAACAGGCTCTGCCCGGCGGGAGAGGACACTTAGGAGCGATCATGTCAATAGCTCTGGTCATTTCTCCATTCCACAGTTTGACCAGAGCATCAACAGGAGCGCCAGCTTTATCAACCGGAAACTCCCCCAGAGCTTTCAGGAATCCATCCGGATCCATCCGGCTCCGAGGGTGGACCCACGCAATAGGGTCCGCACCCTTACAGAGGGAAAGGCCACCATCGAGCTCAAACCTCACGAGGAAGTGGTCTGACCATGACAGGGGAGTCAGACACAAATTCCTCACCCTCAGGTCACCCTCTTCCTGTCCCGTCGAGAAAACCAGGTCCAGCATGTGTCCATGTTCATGGGTCGGGTTGCTTTTGTGGAAATAAGATTGACAGCAGGAGGAGATGAATGATGTAACCACTTAGAGTGCCTTGTAGGAAAAAGGCAGGGTATAAATATAATAAATAAATCTGAGTGCTATTTAAAAAGCACTTAAACTGTGACAGCAAATGTGCTTGATTGGATGGTTGCAACAGCTGCTATCTTTTCCTGTACCCCATTTCAGTTAATATCTTGACCGATGCTATTTGGCAGAACTTACATTAGATTCACTTTTCTGTGCTTGATTATGGACTAGGGGAGCCATTAATTTCTTTGTTGGCATGGACTGATCACTATCTGAACAGGTATGAGCTTATGCTTTGTGTAAACTTCAGCCAGTGGCACCCGATTGCCTGTTTACATCATGGTCTGTGGGATCACCATGCCCACCATTTGCTAAGACAAGGGCTCCCGAAGCTGTGCCATCCATTCCATCTACCCCAGAATGTTTGGCCAGGGCCCACTGGGCCAGGAAGATGGCAGAAGCAGAAAATGGCAAGCATAAGAAGTCTCAGACACACCACTCACCACCTGTGCCGAGTGTGGCCATTCTGGGTCCAGAGCCAACACCATCTGGGCTCACACTAAGTGCAGAGCCAATTTCAGTCACTTCACTCTTGCACTGGGAGATCTGGGATTCACCACTGCAGACACCAGCCCTCTGCTGGTTCTCCAAGATAGTTGCTGCTAGTGATGTCACTCTGGGGGTCACTTTCTCCATTGCCCCATCTGGAAATCATTAACTTGCCACAATATGCTGTTGCTTACTTGCTAGCACCCTCCTGGTTATTGGACCAACATCACCATGGCCATTCATGATTCCCTCTAGCTACATGGGGTTGAGGGGCCTCCTAGCTGACTCCAGTGCACCATTGACTGGAATGGGGGAGAAGCCACTTCCATGATGACTGGGATATACTATGTACTCCCAGCCAGGGATATGCTATTAAAGGGGGGGGGGGCTATTAAAACGTTCTGCCCTTGGAGGCTGATGGATCAGAATGGTTTCCAGATGGCCCATGGAGTGCTTTCAGCTGATATGACCAGTCATTCTATCAATTCCCAGTTGATTTCTGGAATACAGAGATGACCCAGGCAGTTGACACAATCACTCCTGAATGCCTTTTCTTTAGTAGATCTCATACAGCTCCATGGTACATCCTGGAGCTGAGAGCAACAAAACAATACAGCAGACAGCTTGAGGGCAGCACAAGGAAAATGCCTAGCAAGTGATTACAGATCCTGGTAAGCATGTGTCATCAGGTGTATTTAGGGCAGTGAAGGCAGCAAAGGAACAGCCTCTCCACTCCTTCTAGTCACTGTTCTCTTTGCTGTCCAGTGGAACTTTTAAGGGTCCTCCGAGGACTATTGACCCCAAGCTGTTATTGGGATCCATTTAAGTGGGGTTTCAGGCCAGGTTTTGGCATAAACTCAACTTTGGTCACCCCGTTCGATGACCTGTGTTAAGAAACAGGTAGGCCCTGTTGATATTTCTGGATCTCTCAGCAGATTTTGATACCATTGCTCATGATATTTCTTCTGGGGAGACTGTGAGGTAGAAATAAGCAGCATTGCTTTTCAGTGGTTCACCAACTCTTATTTGGATGGTCTGTTCCAGAAGGTGGTGCTTAGGGAATATTGCTCAGCTCCATAGATATTCCAGTATGGTTTTCCTTAGGAGTCAGTCTTATCCACCATGCTGTTCAACATCTACATGAAACCACTGAGTGGAATCATCCAGACTTTTGTAGTTTATTGTCATTCG